CCTGGTGCACAAGTCTCCAGGAGTCAGTTAAAACCAAACCCACCCAGAGCTGCAGGCTCCTCCACAGAAAGGAGGGACAAAACCAGCTGAGTTTGGGGTGGGCAGGGAACAGGGAGGGCTGCCAGCGGCTGCTGTCAGGGAGAGGGGCTGGGAACGCTCTACGGTGGCACAGGTGAAACCTCAGCATCTCTTCACAAAAGAGATTCCCAGTGAGCCTGACTGTACCCCCCCAACCCTCCCCCAGCACAGCTCAGGACCCCAGCCAGGTTGGCCATGTGCGATATTACTGCAGAGTTAATGCTAAGACAGAAAAGTGCTGGCCTAGGGCAGGGGCCCTGGCAGGCTGCCTCATCCCTGCGGCACCACTCCCAGCCCAAAATGAGAAAGTGAGTCACAGCTCAAGACCAGCTCTGGGGCCAGCCCTTCCCCTGCAGCAAGCAGCCAACTGGGCCAAGATCCAGATTCAGGCATCTGAAGGGGTGATTATACAGACTGCCAGGTGAGATGCAAGAGGGGTGATGCCTCCAGCCAGGGGCCTAGTTAATGCTATGCCAGGACAGTGCCAGTATTGCCTGCAGACACCCCAAAGCACTTCCTACAGGAGCTGGGGGTGCAGGACATGAGAGGGAACAGCAGCAGAGGCCAGGCTGCTGGGAGCCAGGCACACAGCAAGAGGACTGAAGTGAGGGGCACGGGGTGCAGGTGATGCTCAAACAAGCCCAGCCCCAGAACCACAGCCAGGCTGGATAGGGGACAGCCAGCCCTGGAAGGAGTGGAAGGCCATCACAAGGGTTGAAGGGCTAGGACAGGTACACACTGGGCCGAGGCTGGGGAAGCTGGGGAGACCCTGGTTAAACCTGTGCTGACACTGCTGGGTCTTTGCTGGGGGTTTGCTTGGGACACAGGCCTGGACTCTGACACATGGGACTGCCCCAATAGCAAGTCTCTTGCTAGGTGAGGAGACCAGCAGGGAGGACAGTCTTATAGCAAAAGCAGCTCCCCCTCCAGCCCCAGAATGACATCCCTGTCCCCCTCCCCACTCCTGCATTGCCAGCAGGGCACGAGGCCTGGAGGCTGCACGCAGATGAGGGAGGGTCCACGTTACAGGCACATCGCTTTACAGCACTTGGCTCCAGTTGGGCAGTACTCCCAGCACGTCCCAGCAATAAAGAAAGTGAAGGGCAGGGAAGCACCCATCTCTACCAAGCAAGAAACACCCCGTTGCCTCTTCCCTGCTCCAGGCCGGGACTGCAGGGCACCATCTCTCAAGCTGCGTCAGGTCCCATGTATTCAAAGGAAAAGCCACATCCGCCTGGCACAGGAAGAAAGTAAAGCTCAGCTCCTTGAAGGCTCTGGGTGGTGCCTACAGGAGCAAGTCTTGGCATTGCTGCATCCAGCGGAGAATCTCATTTCATTAAAAAATAAAACCTCTTTCCCTTCCCCGAGGCTGTGCTGCCTGCTCCAGCCTGGGGGGGTGGGCAGCACTGGGTACTGTGCCCTCCCCATCCTCTGCACTGGCAGGGCAGCAGAAGCAGACGGGTCAGTCCTTCTGTGCAGCCCCACTGCTGTCCACAGGGCAGCGTGGCCCTGCTCCTCTCCCACGTCCAGTGAGCAAAGAAAGCAGCAGAAGTGCTGGCTGATCTGTACACCTGTTCCTTGCTCCCGCTCCCATCTTCCTGACTGTCCCCCTGCCTGGGAAGCCCCAGGCAACCCGTCCTCTTCTCTACCACAAGCAAAGTGGTCAAGGCAGTCCAGGGCAGGCGTGCACCTGGCTTGTGGGTCCAGCAGGTAGCTGGTGCAGGGGGACAAGCCACCCCTGGTCCATCCAGGCCAACGCTCTGCCCTCTACAGGGGTTCCACAGCAGCCTCCGGCTCAGACTGGAGGATCCAGGCCACTACTGGCCTCGCCAATGGATGTGGAGATGGCCGCCAGTCTTGCTAATGCTGGATGAGTGCTGCTCCGTAGAGGTCGGGGCAGGCAGGACTGGGGCAGGGGAGAGGGCGCAAGGGCAGAAGAGGGAGTTGGCGGCTCCAAAGCTGGGGAGTTCGCTCCCGCGATTCCTCAGCAGAGTGTGTCCGTGTTGAAGGACAGCTGAGCCTGTGGGTGGAAGCGATAGATGGAGGCATGCAGCACAAACAGTTTTTTGACACTGCGACTGTCCTGGCCCCTGCCAAGTTTGCAATTCCCTGCCCCTTATAAGTCCAGGGGAAAGCCCTCATCCACTCCAACAGGGATGAGCCCCAGCTGCGGGTATTCTCAGCTCCTGTAGCTGCGGCCAGTCCCTGGCACCACAGCCCCTGCTAGTAACCCAGGGGCTGTCCCCAGTTCCATGCACTTTGGCCAGCCGGTGCAAGGGAGATCAGCACTAGGGAACATGCACCTTCCAGCTCCCTGGGAGCCCAGCGGAGAACATGGGGAACAGCTCCCCTCCTAACGTGGGGTCTCACTGGAAGAAAGGCAATCTCTGCATCCCAGGGCTAGTGCTTGGTGCCAGGGACACCAGGGAAGTGAGGCAACTTCAGGGAGGCCCTGGCAGGTGCATAAGATGGGAGTGGGGCCCCGAGGCTGTTGAGGGGTTGCCCAGGAACATTAATACCAGGTCTTGGATTCCTTCTGTCTCTGCAGTGCAGGGTGTTGGCCATGGACTAGTACCCAAGACCCAAGCAAGTACCCACTGCCCTCTCCTGCAAGTTCACCCAGGAGAGGGCAGTGCCCCAATGTACTGTTCCACCCTGGGCACAGTGCCAGGCCAGGCCTGCTGACCAGGGGAGGGGGCAGCAAAGGCACTGGGATGCTCCTCACCCTCTCCTCCTCAAAGCTGATCAAGCCCTCATCATCAGTCTCCAGGTCCTCAGGTTCCTCCACCACCAGGGCCCGCAGCTCAGTGGGGGCAGCACGTGGGCGCAGCAAGCTCAGGACACGCTCCAGGGGTGACTGGATGGAACAGTTGGGGCTGGTCTCCTGCTGCTCCAGGTTGTCGCTTTGCTTCTTGGCAAAATTCACAAACACCTGAGGAAGGAAGCGGAAGGTGCAGGTAGGCTCTGGAGGGGGCTTCGAGATGAGGCTTCTGAAGCCCCTGCAGCCCTGGCCATGCTGGGCTTCCTGGCCCCAGCTTCCTTGGGACTCACGTTATCGAGCGTGGTCTGGCTGACCGAGTAGTCCTCTATGCCCAGCACGTCCACCACCTGCTCCATCTTGCTAAAGACCTGGGCCAGTGAGATCTGCTCCGACTTGAGCTGGTACTGCACCTTGGTGTGGTGTCGCTCCTAGAGAGGCAAGACTGACGCTAGGGTCACCCCCGAGGGGCAAGATAAGGCACTGCCCAGCCCCTCTGCTTGCTGCCCAACTTCCACATACCATAGGCCTATCTTCTGCACTTAGGCCATGTAAGAGGAGATGCCCCCAGGTCTGAGGTCCAGCATCATCCCCTAAAGCTGCTGCGGGCAGTGGGAGAAATGCCCAAGAGAAGCACCCCAATGCTCAAGAACCTCTGGATACCTCTATGCTCTCCCTATCCAGGGGCTGGATGGCCAAGAGACCTGGGGCAGCACCTGGCACTTGGAACAGAGCGACACACCAGCCAAGCATTTTCAGGGGTGTGGGCCTGACTGCGCGACTAGCTGATGAGTGCAGGGAAAAGGCTGGACTCCCTGCTCAGAGGCGAAGCAGGTTACAGGCACTTGTCATGCCAGGGAAGAGGAAAAGGTTAACTTATTTCTCCCTCCCCCTACCAAAAGCATCAGGGTTTAGCTAGGGCTGCTTAGAGGGACAGCCTGTCCGGGGATACAACATCCCGTCTCTGATGGTGCCCGATACAGACGCATTCTCAAGTCCCTGAACTATCCAAGGCTCTAGTGGTCACAGCACAGCGCTGTGGACAGGATGCCTGGGTCGTATTGCTATCTCTGCCACCAGCACACACCAAGATGGACCACCCTGCTCTCTGCAGCCCAGTGGTACAGCAAGGACAGTGCTCCCCACAGACCTCCTGGAAGCTGACCTCACTGAAGGGCTGTGATATCCCCTAACAGAGGGGAAAGGGTCAGTCCTTGCTACAAGTTGCTGTCTCCACCCACATGTGAGCATTGAAGGCTTTGTAACGTTTCTCTTGGCAGGCAGCACCAAACATGCTCTTGGAGTCTGGGATGTGGTATCAGACCTAGCAGGCAAAGACCCCAGAGACTGTCTCCTGGGAGCCCAGGTAATGCCACCCCTACCAAGAGCCCCAGCCAGGGAAGCAGGGGAGCTATACACCACCCATTGCTGGACCCTGTCCCCCTGGGGTTGGTACAGGTGCTGGGCTGCAGGGGCCAGGCTCACCTTGAGGATGGCCTCTGGGAAGTTCCGGTTGAAGAACCGCACTACTTCCTTGACGTTGAGGCTGGACTTGGTCCGTACTGTGATCATGTAGCCATCTCCAAATCTGGGCAGGCACCAGGGACACAACATCAACCCACGTCTGCCCACTGAGGCATGTAACCCTGCTCCCAGGAGAGGGGCATAGTGCTGTGCTGGGGCCCTCCACAGAGGTGTGCGAGCCCTGAGGAACCCTCCCTCCAGCCAGGCTGGCACTCCTCCATGACTCTCCATCTTTAGCCAGGCTGGTGGTGTGCTGGCTTGACCTCCTGCTGCTGGGAGCCAATGGGGTACCACCTCAATACTGACTTGAGTGCAAGAAATGGGGGCTGGGGAGGGCTGCATGTGAGCCTTGGGACCACAGGTACTGGTGCCACTGGGCTGCTAAAGGCAGGAAGTCTGGAACTCAGCCTGGGACAGTTCTGCTGAGAACCCCCTCCTGCCAGCCCTGTGCCTAGGCCTGCCCTCAAACTCCACTGTGTAGATGCCTTGCACCAGGAAGGAGAAGAGGGGACTTATTGCCTTGACTATGAGCCAGCCTGGGGTGGCCCTCACATCAGAAAAGTCCTTCCCGACACTGACACTATGGAAGAGCTGGCACTGTGGAAGCCATGCCCCTCCCAGGAGAGATGACAGGGAGCAACGCCACCGCCCATCGTGGCAGCAATTCCTGCAGCCCCATCCAGGTGAAGGGTCTGTCCCGACAGTGCAGGTGCTGCTCCCCATTCCTGGACTCCTCCCTGGGGTAGAATCTCTTACCTGTTTTTCAGGTGCTGGATGCTGCCAAGACACTTGAGCCGCCCATTCACCATGATGGCCAGCCTGGTGCACAGCGCCTCGCACTCCTCCATGCTGAGGGAGGCAAGGCTGGGGGTGAGCAGGCCATGGGAATGAGGACGCAAGGCCCAGATGTGCTGTGTGCTGGGCACTGGAGGCTGTGATGTCCATGGGCACAAGCATGGTCTACACCAGGTCAGGTGCTGAAGCCAAGGGGGTGACCACAGGAGCCACTGTGGCAGGGCCCTGAGCTGCCATTAGGGCAGCGTTTTGGAGAGGTGAATGGGACTAGGGCCCAACAAGTCATGACACCCCAGCTGGTAGCTCTCTCCCACTGGGGGGCTCCCATGCAGAGATGGGGTGAGGGGGCTGTTACACCTCAAGGAGTTTCTTGGGTCTTGACCAACCTGTGGGATGTCAGCACAACTGAGCGGCCAGTTTTGATGATGTCCAAGATGAGGTTCCACAGGAAGCGACGTGCCTTGGGGTCCATGCCCGTTGTGGGCTCGTCCTGCCAGGTAGGAAACAAACCCCACGTGAGCTAGCTCCAACTTCCCCCAATCACTCAGCCACTTCACCTTGCCAGTGTCTTTCTGTCCTCCCTTCAGCTTCTGGTGCCCATGCTGGTCACCGCCTGCTTCCCTCACAAGACCTTATGTGGTTGCACACCTACCAGGCATGGAGGGGTGTGCCCTGCACATGAGGACCTGCTATCTCAGCTCACACCTGTACCAGGTCCGGCTGTGGAGCCAAAGGAGTGACCACAGAGACCCCCTTCTCGAAGGGAGGGCTGGTTAGAGAGGACACCTATATCGCACTACTGGGGCCTGTTTTACTGAAAGTAGCTGTGCCCCAGTATCAGCTCAGCCCAGGGTAAAGGCCTGTGTGGACATCCCTTATCTCAGCACCATGACCTTAGAGGCTGGCAGGAGCCAGGGCTGAGACATACAGGAACACAGTTGGGCCCAGGTCAAGGGGAGGCCATGCCCTCACCAGAAAGATAAAGGCAGGGTATCCAATCAGGGCGATGGCTGTGGACAGTTTCCTCTTGTTGCCTCCGCTGTAGGTGCTGGCTGGCTTGTCAGCGTATTTGGCGAGTTCCAGCTTCTTTAGCGCCCACTTCACCACCTGGAGGGGGGCAGAGCAGGAGGGGCTCAGGTGAGCAAGCCCTACACATGGGGCCAAGCATCCTCCGTCATTGCTGGAGAGGCAGCAGTGGAAGCAAATGGAGAACCAGCTACTGGGCGTGGACCCCCTGGCTGAGAGCCACAGTCTGGTTCTGGTAACCGGAGGCAGCCACTGGAGAGAATAGGCAGAACCCTTCTGTGATGTGCCAGGGGTTCACTAAGGCTTACCCTCTCCTCATCCTTCCAGGGGATGCCACGCAGCCGGGTGTACAGCTCCAGGTGCTCCTGAGCCGTGAGCTCGTCGAAGAGGGCATCGAACTGGGGGCAGTAGCCCAAGCTCTGCTGCACCTGGAGCAGCTCCTTCAGGATGCTGTGGGGACAGGAGAGGTGGAGCTGGTGTGAGGCTGCTGCTGCAGATCATTTGGGTGTTCTGAGACAGGTCACTCCCTGCCCTGTGCCTCCACTTCCCTGCTTAAAAAGCACTAGACTGTCCCAGCTGAGGGCAGGGGATGAGCAGCACACCATGTCACTGATTGTCTACAGGACACAGTACTGGTCCCTGCTTTGCAAGGACTGCTCTGCAGGCCAGCTGGATGACCATGCAGTTCACTCCCCATCTTATTTAGCATATGCAGTTTGGCATATTGTTTCAGTCATCTTAAGGCTCCCCACCTCACCCCACAGCACAGCACCACCCCCTGCTTCCACCCACACCCAGACTGCTGGTACCTGTGTCCGTTGATGAAGGCCTCTCCCCCTGTGGTGCTCTCATCCCCAGTCAGCATCTTGAAGGTGGTGGTCTTGCCTGCTCCATTGACACCCAGCAATCCGAAGCACTCCCCAGGACGAACACCCACGCACAGCCGGTCCACAGCCAGGATGCGCCCAATCTTGCGGGACTTGTAGACCTGGTGCAAAGAGGAACAGATCTGCAGCTCAGGGTGACAGGTTCCCAGGCAGGATCAGAGCTGCAGCTGCAGGGGACTGGGTCAGAGTCACCTCACCCTATGGTGGTGGCAATGGAAGGCACCCACAGGGCCAACACCTGTGCTCAAGGAGGGGAAGGCATTAGCAGAGCTGCAGACTTGTCCATCCTTCTCCTCTGCTCCAAACCAGACCCCTGCAATGGGTCCTGGGGGCGCATGCACCTCTAGGTTTGGGCCCAGGCTCCCCCTGCCTGCATAACCCACTCCTGGTACTGCTCCTCCAGTGGCTATGATGGGCCTAAGGCCCCTGAGCTAAGAGCTGTGTCTTGCCTCAGGCAGAAGAGGCTCACAGTTTTGGATACAGAGGTCTAGGGCTCAGCTCCCGCTGCTGAAGACCCGTGGTGGGCAGCACCTGACATCTGAGTCCTCATCCCCATAGTGCTGAGGGTGCAGAGGACAGAGGCCATTCTACCTTGGTCAGGTTCTCTATCTTGAGCATGTCATTGTCAGCATCGCCACGCAGGACCCGGTGCCTCTCGTTGGCCACATCGATGTCATCCTCAATGGGTTTGGTGGAGACAGGCAGCCGCCTGGGGGAAGAGAGAAATGTGACACTTCGATCAAGGCAGTAGCTCTGAGAGCTCAGATGAGCCGGAGAGGCAACATCCCACCCCCACCAGACTCATCTCTGCCTCCTCCTATCAAAATCATCAGGGCTTAGCTTGGGCTGCTTGGAAACAGCAGGGGGTGGCTTGTTTTGGGGTACAACATCCTGTCTCTGATGATGCCCAATCCCAGACCCATCTCTAAGGCTCTGAACTGCACAAGGCTCTAGTGGTTACTGCACAGGGTTTCAACTCAGGACTCCTGGGTCCTACTGTCATCTCCACTCCTAGCACACAGCAGGACTGCCCTGTTCTCCATGGCCCAGTAGTGAGCGAGTGCTCTCCAGAAACTGCCCAGAGGCTGAGCTCACTGGAGAACTGTGGAATAGCCCCCAGAGGGGAAAGGGTCACTCCTGGACAAGGGGCTTTGGGGTCCACAGCCAGGATCAGGCATCTCCAGGATCCAGCTCAGGACAGATTAGTCCCCTGGGTGAAGCACAAGGCCAGGAGCTCCAGATCCTAAATGA